CTCGTGAAGAAGCATGGGCAAAGGTTTCTGCTCTAAATCTGAGCATAGTGCTTTTGGATATATTCAAGGTGATTTTTTTAGCCTTTTTTCAGCTAATCCTTACTTATAATTATGAATTTATGATCACTAATGGTCTTCCAATAATTGCAGCCTAACATCCTGTCTCCCGTAACAAGTCTTTAACGTATTTTCGTTGAGAAACAATATCTATTAGACATAACAACATCAATATCCGGAGATAACTCATGGACCTAGATCTCTATTTCAAATTCTAGCCACATTTTTCAATTGTTCCATCAACCTTGTAGTTTACAGTGAACAGCCATTTATAAACAAATGGATTCTTCCTCTTGTTAAACTCAAAAGTTTGTATGTTCCATTGTTCTCTAAACCAGTGCAATTATTAAAGTTTTAATTAAACCATTTGAAAATACTATGACGCATAATAGATGAACGAAAAATGTAGTTTAGGCCTGTTTGGGAGGGATTAAATTTTTCTACAGTAAATCAATTTTCATTTTCAACTACACATTCTTCAATAAAATAATATTTTCTATCACATCAATAATTTTTTCTTCTTTTTCTACCACACATTTCCCATCATATCACTATTCAAAATCAATTCTTCCCCCAAAAATCTCTCCCAAACAAGCTCTTACTTTACTACAATCTTTATATCTATTTTTTTCGATGGTGTTGGCTGTGAATATAGTTTTGTTTTGTATGATATGCCTAACAATGATGATTATGATATAGAAAATTCTTTTGGAACTTTGATTATTGAAGTTTGGTATCATCGACTAACTGCAAACATGTTTTGATTGAATTGGCTTCATTTAACCCTACTAAACCGCTTGGTGAAGTAGAATTTCTTGTTTGATTTCATCTCATGCTTATTTTTTAAATTTTTGTGTTGTGCTTGTGTGATTAGTTGCTTTGGAATTTCCGATGAGTAGTGTTTTTCTGAGATTGAAATTGACTGTGATGTTGAATTTTTGCTGTATACAACTTCTACAAATTTTCTTCTGGTAATAAATACATTCAAATTTTATTAAATTAAAAAAATGAACTTCTAGAGCTAATTTTATTGGAAGAACAATATTTTTATATTATTTGGTAGGTGCTAATAAATATGTTGTGTGCATGACATGGTGCTTTGTAATAATTCTCCACATCTTCCACCCTGAATAGTTCTACTCCATTGCATATGAATATTCAGGAAACTTCTTCAGTAATAATTATCTAAAAACTAATTATTCCTAAAAGAAAAGGGCGCGATTTCATTCTTAAGGTGGGAAAGCTTGGAACTGGTAGTGATTTGCCATACAGAAT